CGCAATAAGCAACCGACTCGTCCAGGCGCACGCGCTCTATGGACCGAAAAAGGTAAACTTTTTGTCGACAATGGTTTGGTTTATCGAAGACTTCAGATTAATGCTAGCCAATTGATTGTTCCTCGCACATTTCGTAGTCGTATTATTCGTGAAGCGCACTCGACAGCAGTGACCGGCCATTTCGCCACAAAACGCACGATTGCATTAGTCGCGAAAAAGTATTTTTGGATTGGGTTTCGCGCTGAGATTGACGAATTTTGTCGCAGGTGTACCGACTGTCAGCGTTCGAAAGCAAAGAATCCAGTTGATCGTGCACCTTTGCAACATTTAGCCTCTTCCAAACCACTCGAACTAGTTGCAATGGATCTGATGGGCCCACTGCCAATTTCATCGTCAAAAAATGCATATATTCTCGTGGTTGTTGATCATTTTTCAAAATGGACTGAATGCTATCCATTGCCAGATATTCGTGCATGTACTGTCGCTCAATGTTTTGTAAAAGAGTTTGTGTCTCGCCATGGTTTACCTGAGCGCATTCACACTGACCAGGGTAAGCAGTTCGAATCACTATTGTTTCGCGAGCTATGCCTACGTCTTGACATTGATAAATCACGAACGACTCCGTATCATCCGCAGGGCGATGGTGTTGTTGAGAGAGCGAATAGAACGATCCAGAATGTTTTGAAGATTTTTGTTGACGAGGCCAATTCAAATTGGGACGAGCTACTTCCTTCGACGATGTTAGCGTACAATACGAGTGTTCACGCGTCTACGAATTTTACGCCGTATTCTTTAATGTTTGGTCGCGAGGCACACATGCCTCTCGATATTTTGTGTCCTCCGCCTGCCGACTCACTTCCTGAAACGCACGAATCTTTTGCGAATGAACATGTTTCAAAGTTGCGTTCCTCCTACGATTTGGTGCGAAAACATCTCGATTCTAGTCAACGTTGTTCTAAAGTCCGCCACGATCGAAAATCTCGCGCTAGTCCATTGAATGTAGGTGACCGAGTTTGGTTACATCGACATCCGCCGCCTCAGGTTTCGCCTAAATTTTTCAAATATTGGTCGGGACCTTGGGAAATTGTAAAGAAACCAACAGACGTTACGTATGCGATTGAACCTCGATTTGAGAGTCCTATCCGCCATCGGCCTTGCACAGTCCATCGAAATCGCCTTCGGAAATGTTTGACACAAATGGGACCTGCTGCACGAACACCGCTTGCTGCGCCTACACGAACAACTCTTGCTGCGCCTCCGCGACCAACACTTGCTGCACCTACACACACGTACAATACTCGTTCTCGCCCTCCGACTTAATTTAATATTCTTTACCGATAAGTGTCCTTTAATTCGGTGTTGTTTTGTTTGGTGTGTGTGGTCGGTTGTTTTGCTTCGTTGTTCTCGTCCTGGGTGTGGGGCTTCACTCATCACCATGATAGCGAGTATGTCTCTTTCGCCTGATGAAGAAATGGCAGCAGCCCTCTTGCTTCCGCTTCCGCCGAATTCGCCGCCCTCGTCTCCTCCGCCTCCACCTCCGCCCCAAACGCCGCCGCCGCATCCGAATTGCGCCATGTTAGAGCCATGGGATATCCAACCATGGGGGACGCCGCCGGAATTCGACGACTGGGTGCGGCAGGCACCGTCGCCGCCGTCGCCACGGACGCCCGTCCTTCCATCTCCACCACCGACGCCCGGACTAATCAGGCCGGCACGATTGGGCGCCGCGCGTCGCCACCCTGTTATACCTCCGCGCCCTCCATCGGCAGAGGAACTGGTAACGGCTATTCGTCAGCGCCTGAATATCCGCACTTACCGACCACCGCTCCAACGACCACGCCCGCCTCCTCGACAACGACCACGCCCACAGCCTCGACAACGACCACGAACGATACGCCCGACGATACGCCCGACGAGACACCGATACTTCGACGCCGACGTTCTGCCACCGCACCGCCTTATTATGCCGACCATGCCCCGCCACGCACCGTACCGTCACTGGACTGGCCCTCCACCCAATCGTCGTCCTCGTTATGTGTTTCCTCGTCGGGGTCCGGTGTATGACCACTCCCCCCGTTGGTTTGTATGGTGATGTCCTGGTCCTGATTGTCTGTCTAATGTTGTCCTAATCGTTTTTTGTGCCGACTTGTAGCCATTGTGTTTCCCTTGCCATGTTGTGTGTGCGTTGTTTTTGTTGTTGTGTGGGTGCGTTTCTTTTTCTTCTTTTTTCTATTTTTTGAACTTGCGGGTTGTATCATTTGCGCGTGCGGTTTTTGTGTCTTGTGGGTCTTAGTCCGTTTGTCCCGATGATGTTGCTCGCGCGTTTACTCTTTTCTGAGCGAATGTGCAACTGAGGATTGTCTCGTGTACGAATAATTCTTTGTTGTTTCCTCGCAGATCGACGGAGTTCGCCTCGCCATGCGTTTGCTTGTTCCCTTACTGTTTAACGCCTACTGATATTCCTGTTTTTTGTTTCTAGTATACAGCCCGCATTTCGACAGATTTCGCCACGCCATGCGCTCGCCTGTACCTTTGTTGTCCACCGTTATGCCTGTGTTTTGTTTGCGTATATGTGTGTGGACGTGTTGAATGTGCGGACAGGCGCTTCGGAAGTTGTCTTCCGGGGTGCCTGTCGTTTCTTCGTCGTTGTATTTTTCCTTGGTGTTGCGTGTGCGGGCAGGCGCTTCGGAAGTTGTCTTCTTCCGGGGTGCCTGTCGTTTTGTTGTCCTCGTCCTTTTCCTTGGTGTTGCGTGTGCGGACAGGCGCTTCGGAAGTTGTCTTCTTCCGGGGTGCCTGTCGTTTCTTCGTCTTCGTCCTTATCGTTATTCTTAGATCGCCTCAAGAGTTACAACATTGTATGCATCTTAAATATTGATCACATTCATGATTGTGTTTACTTCTGTTTTAACTATTTTTCTTGTTCCCTCAACAATTGTTCGCAGGTCAATTTAAATTTTTTGTTGTCCCATAAATGTCTGTATATTCGAGCTATTTGCAATTTTTTCCCCTTCCTTTTCTCCACGTGGACGCGGAGTCTTTTTCAAGCAGGGGTGGTATGTTAGGTTCACGATTTCACATATGCACGCACTCGCACACTCGTACGCACTCGCACCCTCGAACTCACCTTTTCGGGCGCGCACTCACTTTCACTCTCGTACTCACCTTTTCGGGCGCGCACTCACTTTCACTCTCGTACTCACCTTTTCGGGCGCGCACTCACTTTCACTCTCGTACTCACCTTTACAGGCGCGCACTCACTTTCACTCTCGTACTCACCTTTACAGGCGCGAACTCACCTTTATGGGCGCGCACTCACTTCCACTCTCGTACTCACCTTTTCAGGCGCGGACTTACCTTTGCTCTCGTACTCACCTTTACAGGCGCGAACTCACCTTTTAGGGCGCGCACTCACATTCACTCGACGTACTCACCTTCACAGCCTCGTACTCACCCTGGTTGCTTTTCCTAATCTTTTCTTTCTTTGGCCTGGGTAGCTGGACTCGCGCTTTAGCACATTTATCTCCATAGCTACCCAGGCCCTAGATAAGCCCTTGCTGGAGCATTTGCTCTCCCCATTCTAGCCTGTCTAGCCTTGTCGTGCTCGCCTTGCTTGGTCTTTCTTACCTTATCCTATCCCGAACCTTTGAGATTCCTTGTCGTGTCGACTTGCTCCGATCGTTGAAGTGTGACTGTATCAGTCCTAACAGTACGCTAACTACCTCTATTTGAACTAAAAATGACAATCACATCCTTTCCCTGGTACTACAAGCCTCAAAGGGTATAGTGATTTAGATTGCATACTGGAAGCACGTCTGCCTATAGATATTCAACAGCCCACAGAGTCCAACAGAATTACTACTGGGGCATAAAGCATCAACTTTAACCATATCAATGGAAACTCCTTGAAAAGAGCAGGAGATACTGTACTTTTGTTGTAGTAACTCTATCCAATTATATATCGCTTGGACCTTAACTGTGGTCGGATTCTGTCTCACCTAAACTCGATCATACCCATTTTGCTTCCCTTTACCTGCCAAACTGTGAATCTTTAACCCTTTCCATGCCAGCATGTTTTCCTGTGTTGGCCACGCATTGTTCAGGCGCTGAGCTCACCTGTTCAAAGCTGCACGCGCACCTCAGAACGGATTTGTTTGCTATTTCACTGTACCTTGGTGGATTTTCACGATCCATGGCTTGTTGGAAAGATTTGGACCACAGGAAGCCATTTCAGAGACTCACAGCGTGACAGGCATACCAGGGCCACTTCCATCTCCTCTCCAAGTCCCCCTACCATTGCTGAGAATAACAAAAACGACGGCCTCTCATGTTTTCTTTCGTCTTCTTGCTCATTGTGAACTGATTTTCACAATTCAAACTGCGTTGGAAAGTCGAGATTCAAGCGAGTTTTTTGAAGCTGACTGTGCACGCGCTGTCTCTAGGGGAAATCCCCTAGCCCGCAGGGAGTCGCGAACAAAACATTTTGAATCGATCGCGAAAAAGTGAAATTTGGGCATTCTGGCCGTTCAATTTGTCGTCGCTCGATCATGCCTTCGCGTATCGCGAAGAACGTTATATTCCTTGAAAAATGAGCTCAAGACCTTTCCAGCGGTGTCTCAACCTTAGCAGTCTAAGATAGGTTGACGGAGTTATGACAGTTTAGACACTCGTCTATAGCACGCAATACACATGTAGTCTACGGTGTGCATTGTACAGTGTAGGCAGAACGCGTAAACACGTCCATGGCCAATCGGTTCATACTAAAAAAACGGGTATACGCGTCCATGGCATAGCAAGGGTTAATGTGTGAACATGCTCAGCACATATTAATGCTAAGAAGGAGAGGTAATAATATGAATTGTACATGCACACCCTCACATCACATGACTTCAACAGATTACTTCTATATTCCTACTTTATTTACAGACCTCCTGACTTCAGCACCACTCAACTTCTCATACAAGCTGGACATAAATGAAACAAGGTTATCACATAGTACTTACGAGTGCAAGTTGGTGGTGATCCAGACCATGCTCCAGTTGTTTGACACACAGTTGTTGTTGTGCCAGAAAGTTGATATCCGGTATTGCACGAGTATGTTCTGTTCGTGAAGGCATCTCGAGCACCGCTAGACACGGCGCCGTTTATAGGAGACACTGGGTTGACAGGACATTGTATCACTGTAACACCAGAATCATAAATACACCAAACAAAATATCAACAGAAAAACAATGCCAGAACGGGAAATACTGACTTACTATGAACCACAAACAGTCCAAGTAACATCTAGTGACCTTAGAAAAATTTCGAAGGCAGCACAGCTTAGCCACACCTGGATCTCATATGACACCTGACGGGAAGTGCAGGGAAACCACCTGAAGTCCCATCTTATTCTTCCTCTCAGCCATGTATCCAATGCCTGTATCAACATTTCTTCGGCTCTGGCTCTCCAAGGATCGATTTCTTATTTTCACCTAAATAATCGTATACGTACGCTGGCAAGTTGGTGGGGAAGTCGACCAAGTTCCATTTGGAAGACAAACAGATGCACTGCTGCCGACTACATTGTATCCGGAATTGCAGGTGAAAATAGTTGCACCATTAATCTCCAAAGACATGCTAGCAATAGCTCCATTAGAAGGTGCAACTTGACCACTACACGCAACACCTGCAAAACACAGGAACCAGCAAACAATGAAGTCAGAATGGTCTCACTTCAAAGCCGCAACACAAAAGCAGCTTAGTGGCTGAGGTGTCAACCAGCTTCATACTCCATCAGTAGCCCCTGATGATCACTAAGACTCGATTACTGGTCTGAATGCAGCCGACGAACTCCAGATAACGCGGTCTCCACTCAACCTCATGGAGAGCCCCGGCTCTGTGACAACGCAATAAAAACGGTGTGTACAGCAGCACTTGACTTGAAATGCAGCATGTCCACAGCTGCTGATTTGCGTCCTACACAAATACTGGGGAGTTCTAAAGTCAACGTATCTGACAGGGAGAGCCAACAAGTACTTTGTATAACAGTGCTCCAGGGGTTAAGTGTTCATTGAGATAACTGCATGGATTTTTTGGGTAACTTTATACTTCTACAAAGAAGGCCAAAGAAATGTTTCTCCATTATCTTTTCATTTCCATTCCTTCCTTAACTCTTTCTCAAGAGATTTCGCGATTTCGAAGTTGAGGACATGATGCAGTCATATCTTCGTAATCCCATACGAAAAAGAAAAACATTCCCTGCAGAAATTTGAAACATATCCAGTTCACACTCTGAGCAATTGTCAGCTGTGACTTTTAAAGATATGCAACCACTTCATCAACCCATAATGGGTGGGGCCAGATAATTTGATCAGTGGACCAAAACCAACTATGTGCAGTCAAATTACAATTTCATTCGCAATTGTATTTTCTCTCAGCTTGAAGGGCTACCATGGGCCCTATCCTTGCCTGGACCTAGTCACATTTGAATTTTCTGGAAGCGTTCAGGCATACAGATTTTGAAAATAATTATATGGTTTACCCATGCCTACATCACATGGTTCTTGAGTTATTGCTGGTTGTGTGTACATCATAGCCAGCAATCACATGTCATCACGTACATTGAAAATCAACATAATATTTCGAATCGACCTTTTTTTCAGGATCACTTTTCAACGAGGACGAAGCAAAGTCGGCCGAACGAAGCCTAGAGGAAGAAAATCACCCTCTCCAGTTCACCATCACGATACTGACATAGATACGAGACGAAACAACTAAAAAATCCACAAGAAAACTGTACGGCCATCATCGTGCTGACTTTGGTCTGACTTTGCTCTGAGAATTTCTATCACGATCAAAAAGGTACGAGGAGCACTCAAAATAGGCCACAGACGTACCTTTATCGCTCTCTACTCCTTTTTCAAGGCACAAAAGTCGACTCTCCACTTTCAAACCAGGAACCAGACATACCAGTGGTCCTTTTCAGCTGCTCCACGAGCGCAAGAAATGTTCACCAAGGGGCGCAGAGCAGCATCCATTCCAGACTAAAGAGCTAAAATACGAGTGAGACTGCATGATTGAGTACATGAGTACATGTATGAATACATGCAGAAAATAGCCAATTTCAGCGTTTCTGCTCCAAATAGCAACTAGCTACGACTAGAAACAAAGATTACAACAAAGGATCAAACAACAACCATTTTCTGCAGTTTTTTTTGCAGATGGCTTCCTTGTGCTTGGCCCAGCACGCCAAAAATCACACCTCGGAGGAGTACAAAATTACAACTCTCAGATGTCCTCGATTGCTGGCCATGGTATTGGCGTGACGACCCCTCACATACATTGAGTTAGACCGGCAAAGGGTTAACGTGGCATTTCACCCCAAAATTCCCAAACGTTTGAATTTGCAAATTCACCTTGAGTGCTACATCAATTGAAAGAGCATGAATAGCTGCAAAATCTCTGAAAATGTTGTCTCGATCTGACCAGCCCTTCAAGAGTTATGGCCGAAAATGCGCCTGCGGGAAGGAAAGATTTTTTTGTTGCACGCTGTCATTTTTTGGCAGCACTGTATTTGAATATATGTAGGACTCAGTGACCAGTCAAGGCCCCGTGACCAATCACGGTCCCCGTGACCAGTCAAACAGTCACAAACCCCCCATGACCAGTCACAAATTAGTTTACCAGTCACAATGCCCCATGACCAGTCACAAATCACCATACATGTACATGTGTAAAGTACACAGTTCGTGACTGCTCGCAGGGTGCTTCGTACTGCAGGATTTGTTGCGGAAACTATAATTTCCTATGACCGGTCACAGAATACAGTTGTGACCACTATAATTCCATGCGAACAGTTACATGCGGAATGTACAGTTGTGACCACTCTTTCTCTGTGAGTAGTCACAGGCAGAATATAGGTATTTCTGTATTACAAGAGAGATTGGAGGCTTTGTCACACCTCTGAGTTTCACGTATTACTACGATCGTCAGGCAACTGATGGCTCCTAAACGGGCAGCCTGAACATAAGGGGGAGCAAGGTGGGAAATTCTGAGGGGTATCATAGGCGACGGGTATTATAGTGCAAGAGTCAGGTGCAGGCGTGAAGTTGCCAAGTCTTCAGACTTGGGGCTATGCAGCAGCAGTTCCAGCGTGAATGACATAGAATAGAGCTGGGGACCACACATGCCCACACCATTACACACACATACACCCACACTCTCTCCCTTTTCTCACATACACCCACACGCGCGCGCACACACACACACACACACACACACTCATTCTCTAAATCTCTCTCTCTCACACACACACACGCACATATGTCATTCATTCTCTACATCACACACCCACTTGGCTTGGCGTACAGCTGCCAAATGATTAGCCACGCCGCCCCCGAGACAGGGGGAGAGTAAAAGAGAGAGTTTGAGACACACACACACATCCACACACACACACACACACACACACACACACACACACACACACACACACACACACACACACCTGGCCTGGTGTACAGCTGCCAAATGCTTGGCCACGCCGCCCCCGAGACAGGGGGAGAGTAGAAGAGAGAGTTTGAGACACACACACACACACACATACATACACTGTACTGTACTTGTACTTGTTGCTCACTACCAAAACTGGTCACGTGAGTCCCCCGGGAGAGGGGAGAGAGACTCAAAAGGAATCTTGGAAAGATGACTCAATTGGTTATTGAACCGCCCGACGACCGACACCCCCTGAAATCCCCAAAACTCTGGGTGGACTTGAAAATGACCCCACTTATGGGCTCACCACACCTCAGTAAGTGGGTGAGGACAAGGTGCAGAAAAAGGATTGACGGCATCGGGGTATCCGTCCCGGGATCCAACTGCAGTTACCACAGCCCCCAGTGAAGGTAATACTTGCTACTAGTGTGAGTGGCTAAATCAGAGTGGATCTGATAAAAGCTTCACTAGCACCATTGATTACACAAGAGTTAATCTAGCCAGAAGCAGTCCATGGTTGACAGGTATGTATACTTCAAATAGAAAGTATATGAACCCTGGAACCAACAAAGGTGGCAGGTACAACATTACACCTTCAAGCAGCCGAGCCTGTTGGCATCAGACCCAACGCAATCAGGCATAAGTGTACCTACCAACCGAACTAGCTGGCACACACACACACACACACACACATCCACACACACACACACACACATCCACACACACATTTTCTAAATCTCACACATACACACGCACATTCTCTATCTCTCACACATACACTCTCTTTCTCACGCATGCACACACACACACACACACACACACACACACACACACACACACACACACACACACACACACTCACACATGCGCGCGCACACCTTCCTGAACGACTTCAACTGAGAGGCAGTTTCAGTTTCAACAAGCTGGACATTGTTTTTCTGTGGAGTGTTCCACAAGAAAGACAGAGCTACACACACGAAGGTGCTTGATGTACTCAGTACCTTCTTGGAAATGAACATATTTTCATTTCCATCTTCATTATATTTTCGTCTCTGCATCGTTGACGATGTCCACTTCTGACTCCGTTATCTTGTCACCCATACTCTCCAAAAACACAAATCGAGTGCTGCTTGCATGCTGGATCAGTTGAAGTCAGTCTCTGCTCTAGCAAGATCGGCATGCAAAAATTACATGATTGAAAATATTCCGAAATAGCTTTTCTGAACGACGAAGTTTGTTCTTCAAATATGATGAATAGCACAACCTACTAGCCAGAACGTCCTCTCAAAGGAGATTCTATCTGAAGCCTGCAAGATTTTCGACCACCCTTCGTTTTGGAGAGGAGCCCACACACACCAGACTCGAGCTACAAGTAAACTACGCGGAGATCGAGAGTTGATCGAAATCTTTCTTGCTCACTTCTGAAACCTGTGAAGGAAAAAAGTATGCTGAACGCGTGATTGCCTACAGTTGAGTTGTAATATTTTGACGTGGATTCTGTGACCGTTCACAGAGAAAGTCGCGGCTGTTTCTGACTGGTCATCGGGATTCAAACTGGTGTGTGACTTTATGACTGCTCTTCGGGGATTTGTGACTGTTTGATTGGTCACGGGGATCGTGATCGGTCATCGAGACATGACTGCTCACTGAGTCCTACATATAAGCAGACCGTGTGCACGACCTGGACCACAGGAAGCCATTTCAGGGACTCACAGCGCGACAGGCATAATGTGGTTTTGCTTCCGTTTACCACCCAAACTGTGAATCTTCAATGGACCACTTGCCATTTGTACAGATCCACGAAATCCCGTAGAATCCCGTTGACCCGGAAGAGTGTTGAATGTGTGCTCTGCATGCGCATTTGACCAATTTCCGAGTCATAATTCAATGACCAGCAATCGCTTTTCCAACTTCTTTGTTTTGGTTAGAACTAATGACTTGCTAGATCTTTGTCAGAAAAAGGTTTACATATGAAATGCCTTCAGGCCCCATTTCTTAGTGGAAATAGCAGAAAAAAACAATAGGGTGCTGCACATTCAACACCTTTCCGGGTCTACGGGATTCTACGGGATTTCGTAGATCTGTACAAATGGCAAGTGGTCCATTGGTATGTGAACATGCTCAGAACATACTACTGCCAAGAAGAAGACTAGATATGAATTAGACATGCATACCCTGACATCACATGACTTATACAGGTTATTTCTCTATTCCTACTTTATTTGTGTACGTGCTCTTAATTTTCTTTTTTTCTCTTCTTCCGTGGTTGGTCTCACCCTCTCCTCAATTCGATTGGCTGTCTTGACATGCCACGAGGTGCAGAAATAAATAAATAAATAAATGAATAAATTTACAGACCTTCTGGCTTCAGCACAAATCACCTATTCAAACAACCTTGATAGAAGGCCATGTAAAAATTATATTGATTGTTTATCGTCAAATTTTCCCAAGAAATCGGGGCGGGCGGAAGGTTTTTATTTTTATTTGTTATTATCCATGGTTGGCTGTAGGGTAGGTGTTCGCAACCTCAGACATGCATTTTTCTTCGTTTTCATTTTTTTGAACCCATTTAGCGCAGAGTGTGATAAATACCTGTGATGCAGATGAATCGTCAGCCATGAATAATTTACGCCTTGCAAGACAATTTTGAAGATTCTAATAATGAAAAGTGGAACAACCAACGTTACGTAGAAAAAACGAATGAAACAAATCAGCTGGTAATCAGAGTCATTTTCAAGCCCATACTAGCAACTAACCTTTGGTTTAGTCTGTGGACTTCACCTTCGAAAATCTACGGCCATGCTCATTACAGGCCGTAGACCGCAGTACATACAGTACTATACCAGTACTAAAAAATAGAATAATTCGGACAGGAGGGTGAAAATTTGGGGCGGTCGCGGACGATAAACAGTCATTTTTTTACTTGGCCTAAATGAAAACAAGGTTAAGAAGTATTGCCGTGTCCTGCGCAGAAGAGAATCGACTCTGCAGAATATTTCCGGGGTGGTATTTGGAGGTGACCCTGGCTGTGCCTTTCCACTAGTGATGTCGACGGAGTCTGGAGAGAATGTGCTGCACTACGCCGGTTTACTGTTTGGGAGGCCTGTCTGTGGGTAGAATTGCAGCAAATTCTCTCCAGACTCCGTCGACATCACTAGTGGAAAGGCATAGCCAGGGTCACCTCCAAATACCACCCCGGAAATATTCTGCAGAGTCGATTCTCTTCTGCGCAGGACACGGCAATACTTCTTAACCTTGTTTTCATTTAGGCCAAGTAAAAAAAAGGATTGTTTATCGTCCGCGACCGCCCCAAATTTTCACCCTCCTGTCCGAATTATTCTATTTTTTAGGCAGAATTGCAGCTGCCATGGTACAAGCTGCGCAATCTCCAGTAGTACCTACGAAAGTTTGGTGCGCCTCTCGGATCCGAACATGCTATGAGTCAGACGCTTCATAACCAACTCCCTTTTGAACCTATCGCCCGTGTTGCACGGTTGAATAAGCGGTCAATTGCACATGCGTACACCAGCCGCCCGGTCACTGTGCCTGCAGGCTACAACTTTCACACTAACGTTCAACTCACCGGTTCAAATGTTCAACTTGAGTGACAGGAAAGCAGGTTGTAAGTTGAAGAGAGTGACCAAGTGACTGGTGTACCCATGAGCACGCGCCTGCTTACTCAACCGTGATCGATTTGGAATAAGGGCCATAACAGCCTTTTCGGACCTAAGCCAGTGGACTCGGCATCCAAAAGACTACAACATATGAGCAAATCACGCTCATCCGTGCTTCTATATGAACGAAATGGCGCTTTTCGTGGTATTTTGTATTCAAATCCCCATCTAGCACCCAGTTTCGTTGGAAGTGGCGAGTACAATTGGGAATAAAGGAGGAAGGGAGAATCTCAGCAAGACCATTCAATTCAGCACCACGAAGACTACAACTGGTGAAATTTGATATTAGGGTACACTTCCCCTCTAGCCCTTTAGCATCTAAATTGATTTTAGCCGACGCACGATTTTCATAAACTCACATTTTCATTTGGCTGTAACATCGATAGCCTTTGGAGGATTCTCACAATCTTGAGCTCTATGGAAAACTCTGGGCAAGATGAACGCAGCCATACCCAGTTCGCTATTGACAGAATCGTAGGGGTAACGCCGCAGCGCAATGTGAGCATTCCACTACCAGACCTACTAGCGCAGCACTAAATTCTCAGCCATTTCAACTCCCGTATTTCCCCCGATTATAAGTCGCCCTTTTTTACACTAAAATTCAGGATAAAAAACCTGATGTGACTTACAATCGAGCATGACTTACTGCTGAAGTGGATAATATCGAAACAATCTTACTCAAACCTGAAAATGGGGGGTGCGACTTATAATCGAGTTCGACTTATAATCGGGGAAATACGGTATTTCGATCGCAGAACGGTCATTTTTTTCAGGAGAAAGCTGAGAAATGCAGCTGCAAAATGACGTATGTCATGTGTGAATGCGTGGGCAGCGAGTCAGGGAAACCCCTTGCGCACGTTTCAAAATCACGCCGGCGCGAGCTGACTTGTGCCAACGTATTTCGTTCGAGTGTCATAACTCTGCTCCAGGACCTCGGATCGTCTTCGGGTTCCTTCTGCTTAGGCCGAGGCATTCCTGATACGAATAGAGCTTTCGACCGTTGAATTTGGACAATGATTGACCGAATGGCAGTTAGATGAGCGAGAGATGATTTCTCATGCATCATCTGGCCGCGGCCAACTACCCTTCAATTTGCATGATGTTGCTACAGTCCATTCATTGGAAACTGGCACCCTAACCTTTTGGTGCCTCCCGCATATTGTTGTAGATATCGTGAAAACAACAGTACATCCTGTATTGTGTGACCCGTGCAATTACTCCTTGCCACATTTGAGGCCAGAAAAGTCCAAGAACAGGGAAATAGAAATTCAGCCAGGTTTTACAAAATTAGGACAGGTATGCCATGGCAAAATGTATGGAGAAGAAGATCCAAAACCCAGATTTTTGAGATTTAAAGTGGGTTTTTGATCCTCAATTCGGCCCAAATCCGACTTTCAAAAGCCAGTGGGCCAGTTTCCGATGAATGGACTGTAGTGCTGTCTATGGATCTGTGTCTGCCAGTGTATGCGGGGCCAGAAAGAGAAGCGCCTTTGCACAAATGTACCATCAGAACATGAATCACTGGTGCAGAACCAGTCACATGCAAGTACAGTAAATAGTGGATATAACGTGCCCCTTTGATTTTCGATAATTTATCACTATATCCGGTGCATCACTATATCCGATTTGCATGTATGACTGACACATGGCACATGACTGTGCATGAAATGATGCGTACATGCTGGAAAAAGCATGAAAAGCAGCCACGTACACATGTGGCTGCTTACAGCATACAGGTCGTCCCCCGTTAATACGAGTCCGGTTAGTACATAAACCCCGTTAGTACATAAGAAATCTCAAGTCCCGGACGAAACGTGGTCACTTCCATACAAATTTTGTCGGTTAGTACATAATCCGTTAGTACATAAACCCCGTTAGTACATAACATTTCTCCGTACCCGCATGTCACCTACCTCAATAGTACATAATTTACTTGTCTTTTGGCCTTCCAGTGGAGGCACATCGTGTTCTAGTTTCTACTTGTGGACGCAATTAGCATAGAAATCAGAGCGCACATCACAAACCGACAAAGCTCTGTTTTTTCGAGTGACTGTACAGGTGCGGCTGGGCATGTACCATGTCAACTGTAGAATCTTCGCTAAATGTGACCATTATAACATAATTTTTATGTTATATCGAGGGAATCAAGAATATCTCGCTGCCTACACCTAGTCACGGTAGCAAGAAACACTCAGAAAAGTTGAAAAAAGTGAAAAATTCTGGTATACAAGCAAGTTATGTACACTTTCGTTTAGTACATAAACCCCGTTAATACATAACATTTGTCAAGTCCCAGAGATTATGTATTAACGAGGGACGACCTGTACAGGGAAGAATTTTCTCTCAATCACGTCTGCTGCCAGATGCATCCAGGCAACACTGGATCAGTTTTGGAAGAAATAAACTAAATTTGAAGAACAATTGTTTTGTGATCATCACTCTTGATCAGTATATACGATATTTTCCTGTGCATTTGATATGGTTTGCTTCCTGAAGCCCATCACAATAAGCGATATATCGGTATAGCCGATAATAGTGTGTATAGTGATATTTTAGCTGTATTTTTTGGCGAGTTCGATAATTATAGCCGGTATATCGTTACACCCGGTCACTTTATAAACGATACTCACTGTACTTTCACATTTCCTTGTGGTATTTCATTCACTTTAAACGCCATGACGTTAAAAGTGAGGGTGGCCCTACATTCGAATATAGCGCCAAGGCTTTTGAGCGGAAGCACGCTACAATAGGAAAGGTGAAGGCGAGTTTGGGATCTATCTTTTACTCCCTCTGAGATCAACAGTTTTATAGGCTGTACAATATACAGGGACTCCCTTTGAGTTAACATTTGCTTAATTATTTGATAAAATAATTAGTGAAAAAAAGGAAGAAGTACTGACGAGTGCATGTTGGTGGTGTACCAGACCATGCTCCAGTTGTTTGACAGATAGTTGTTGTTGCTCCAGATAGTTGATATCGGGTACTGCACGAGTATGTTCTGATCGTGAAAGCATTTCGACCACCACTAGACACTGCGCCATTCACAGGAGACGTTGGATTTGCAGGACATTGAATTGCTATGGAAACATATCCAATCAACAGACATTGTAGAGTCAATGGTTCAAGCTTGGACATTCCAGAATATTCGGTTACATCACACGTCTTCCGTTTTAGGAGTCATGTTTGAGAAAATCAAAGTATGTTTGCAAATCGATCTCAGACTGATCAAACTGGGAAGCTTAACTGACGAGGGATGAATTCCCTTCATGCCAGTTGCGAGTGAGCAAAATGTCAATCCAAGTTGAGCATACAACCTTCCTACAAGTATATCCCCAAAGGGTCTTCATTTATTTTCGAAGTGTTGTGCATAGCGGTGAATTGCAACAAACCGGTAACGTGGGTGCAGCATTGCGAATGACCGAGGGTTCTCTGACCCTTTTTTTAAAATTCCATGATCTTCACTGCCTCAGCTCGCCATCTAAATCTGGTTAAACTATGGCCTGGACAGGGATGCTGATCAGATGTTTCTCAGCCTTTTGAAGCTCAACTGACGGCTGAATTTCATGAAATAGTGTGTACAGAGCACAGGTGTTGCATTCTCATGCAGGTTTACTAAGTGAAGCCGTTGATTTGCTCTGTAGGATAGTAGAGAGTCAGATAATTGATAAGGCGTCGAATAGCACAAGCTTCAGTATCATGAATCACAGATATTGCAAATACTGACAAATCCAACGTAGCGTGGTCCGAAAAATAAAAATGAACACACGATGCAGTGTCCTCATTGTTTTAAACCTTACTTGTACATAACGTCAGTGGCGTTAACCAAGAACCATTCGCCAAGCATACAGTTGCACTGCTTCCTGTCAGTTGAAAGCCATCATTGCATGCAAATATAGTCACTCCATATGGTGATCTGGAGCTGCTGACTATTGAACCATTTATTGGTGGGGTAAGTGCCGGACACGTTCGTACTGCATTTTAGACAATAAGATAATACAAGTGCATCATCCACACACAGGGTTTTTAATAAAGACATCCGTAGAACATCTACGTGTCCCGATCTTGAGATTGTATATTTTTAGGCAGCAATAAATGAGTTATTAAACGATTCCGGGTCACAGCACAGTTACTGGATCTGAGCACTCTGATTCAGTGCTTCAGCACAATTGTGGAGATAGCAGCAAACAAATTGTCACATTATCGTTTGTCAACGGATTTCACAATTTATGGCTTCCTGGAAAGCTCTTTCCTGCTAATCATCTTCCACGTGCATACAGCACCTCAACGACGCCCCTAACCTCGACCAGAGTGTCCCTATCGTGCTCCAGTGCGGCATCGAGACCACGAACAACAATCTCCTTCAATTCGGGGCTCATACTCTATGTAGAAATACGATTAAACTGCTCTGAACTCGTGAGATTCAAACGATCCAAATGATGTACTCATACGTCATGTTGCCTTTGACACATCATTGGGAAATCCCCATGAATTCCTTGAATCGCCGGACAGAAAGTCAGAAAATTGTTAAGATTGAATTCGTGCGTTCAATTTATCGCCGCTCGATCATTTGTTGAGCTACTGCCACACCTCTGGAAAACCCTGTCCAAGACCGTTCCAATGGGCTATTGGTCATGGCAATGTGATATTCCATTCTAGAGTTATGGCTGTTTGTACAGTGATCTATCCAGTGCGTACAGTATGTGCACTGTACAAACAATATATCGCGAGTATACTCGTCATTGCCCAGACTCGATGGGGTCACGACGATGGGGTCACGACGAGTTTACTCGTCATAAACTCGAAAAAATGTTAAAAGTAACACTTACACGTGCATAATGTTGCATGTTATAGTTAGTTTTTTGGGATTACCACATCACGTTGCGGACCTTGAATGAATGAAGGTAAAGCACTGGTTCAAGATTTGATTGAAAAAGAAAGTTGATTCAACTTACATGTACACAGAGGAAGAGAAGCACCACTAGGCCACTGACCACCACTACCGCAAGTTAGTGTGGCTGTCCCTGTCACTACATACCCTGGAAAACATGAGACACTTGCGGTACCTCCCGTTGTAAAACTAGCCGCAGTGGTGTGGACATATCCATTGGTAAACACAGGTAGTGCAGGGCATGTAATGGCTGAAAAGATGTAGTGAAATTAAAGACCAAACACAATAACAGGTGTGAATTTCGCATCCGACAGTAGCAGATTGTAGTCTGCACACGTGATATGCAGTTAATATGGAACTGCAGACTATCGACAAGGTACCATCCGAAGAGCACATTCCGTAAATATCAAGTGAATGTAAGAATAAGGTTCGTTTATAACCTTCAGAGAACTGGGAAGAAAAAAACATTGAATACATTTAGAAGAGAAAAGGACATATCGATACGAGTTAAGAGTAACTCTCCATCACTGTAACATGATACTATATACAGAGAGAGAGACGGAGATGTGTTGAAGCTAGGTGTCAGGACGTCGAATGTTTCAGTACTCTGTCAGTTTTGTGCCTAGTTATTGCACTTTCTGACTGTATATGGTATCATGTTACAGTGATGGAGAGTTACTCTTAACTCGTATCGATATGTCCTTTTCTCTTCTACATTTATTTATGGCTCAACATCCGAGTTTCAAATTGAATACATTCCTCGGGTTTTGTCGGTTGGTCTGACAACATAACCCATCTTTTATCACATTTCGAAAAATGACTATTAAAGGACTCCTCGCATGTACGGTTTGAATTCTTTGAAATGAAACTTCTGATATAGGGAAGGTGACATCATTGCAAGTGCCCTGTTTGTCACATGCATGGAGCTGGAACTGCATTCGGAGTGCGCCGCAGTGGACAATCAAGAGGTTCCGGGTACGATTTTCCGTGCCAAAATCCGTATGGGCGCTACGGATTTTTCTAGGCGTGCTCCATACGATTTTTCGGCACGGAGAATCCGTGTGGACTGGCTTTCATACGAACCATGTTTCGTATGGAGATTTTGCGTCATCGGGTGCAGAAAGATTTTTCGTGTACAAATTTGGTACGAGAAACATAGATTTTTCGCGGGAAGTTTTGATTTGGGTACAAAATTTCAAAATTAAAAGGCATAGCGCGGGAATGTGACGTGTTTGCGATCGTAACCTAGGCAATCACTGCAAACACATAAGTTCCGTACCCCTGAACTTTTTCACTGCTCGAAAACAACGTATAAAAAATCCGTAGAGCCTCCACGGATTTTGGCACGAAAAATCGTACTCCGGAACCTCCCTAATGACTATTAGTTTTTTTTATGAACTTGGGCTCATTATATTTTTTTACTGAATACCACAGAACCATCAGATGCTGCACAGCGATATTCTAATAACCAAGAGATTTCTAGTGAACCAATATCTCTATAACATTAAGTCAATCGAATGTGTTTTTTATAAACCGAGCGCATATATATTCGACTCAGTAGGCAGTCGGGTCACAATGTAGAGTTGGAAGTCCAGTATGCAGTCAAGATCCTGTAAAGAGTCATTGAAATACAACTAGAGCACGAGTTCGACTCCCTAATGGACTTCCGGCTGTGTATAGGACAACGAGTGCCTACTGAGTCCAACGTATATTTGTCGCTGACAAAAAATGTGAGGAATAATTTGCCTCCAATGGTTTGGTATATGCTAATAATACCTTGGCAAATGGGAAATGTTGTAAAGGCATTTGCAGTTGGACATCTGACAGTGTTTGGTCCAACGAGTGTAAATCCACTGAAGCAGGATATTGTATACTGTTGAGGCACACTAGCAGCAATCGGTGTCGCCATTCCATCAGTTATTGTAGGTACTGGGCATGTAATAGCTGGAGAAAAAAAACATAACACCAAAGAAACCGTTTCACGCACAATGTACTATTAAGTGCAATCAGTCCACATGTGATGATGTTGTGCTGAATTCCACTGTGAGAATCAGTGTACACCACTCCCCCTCTTGGTATCTCTCTCTATGAGAGCTGGTTGGACGTATATATGGGAAGACATTGCAGGCGTTCGGTGGCTGCGTCAGCGACTTCGGCAGAGGTATCACCTGCCCTAGGGGGTAATTTTGAGGAACCAAAGTGCAATTTTTAGGCGATGGTAGGCCATGCACAACAACAATCCAGAAAGAACGCTGATACAACACAACCTGTGTGCAGTATCAAACCCCAAGGCGTGTTGAAATCAATGGTGCATCCACAAGAAGAAAATGGTGCAGTATAGTAAGTGGCTGGAAGGCAATACGAATTGCGATTTGGGTTCTCAAAGGGTTTGCACTACCGCTTTCTGCGTCCACATTGGTTAATAAGGCGGAGATTCCAGGATAGCTTCATCTGATATTGGTATAATCATTACTGCCTCCGTTAAAAAAATTCGGGATGGATTTTGATTGACAATGAAAACGTTTAGAACAGGTCATGAACAGTTTGTATCAACTGCAAATCACGGGACGAAGGCAGTTTAGCCGATGTACAGCGTTTTACAAGAGAAACTGTTGGCGGAATGATCCAAGAGTTCAGTTTGCGTCGCTTTCGCTCGGTATCGTCATCTGCTGTCATCTGCTGCACGCAAGTCGTCATCTCTCTAGAGTGCTTGTTCACAACTTTCAGCTCTTTTTAGCCTTGTTTGATCATACTTCGCTGAACTTTGGTGATATCGGCGTCATTCAAGTTGACTTTCAAGCTGCGTGAATCCGCCGCGGTGGTGGTTACTGGTTTCCGCCAGGGAGTTGTAGAAATATGTTATGTTTCGCTGGTTTCACGTCCAGAATGATCCTTGAAACAATGAAAAAAGGCACAGCCAAATTAATTATATTTCTGAGGGATGCTCCTGTCAGCACTGAACGGTATCGACGAGCAGATCCCGTCGACTTCCCTTAGCCAAGAGACTCACGTTGGGCTCCAGACTTCAAAGGAATGAATTGTACTCAGCATTCGAATCTAGGCTTTGCGCAGGTTGAATAAGAACTTGAGTTCTGATGTTTAATTGAGCTTTGCGATAGGAGCAGCTGCTTGTTCACTCGCTCATTGTGTGGGCTCTGTGCTACGCACCACTACTCCCTGGATAAGTCTCAAACTCTCAAGCTCATTGGTAGAGAGCCCAAGCAGCGCACTATGCCCTCGGTGAAGTGGTATTTCAGTTTCCGTCGCCATGACTGTCATGATCGAGTAAGTTGCCCCAGCACAACTATCATTTCCGCTCGTTTTGTTGTGAAAAGTTGCTTTCTTTGCATCGTATCTCTTTCATGGCATGCCAGGGAATCCCGAGAAAGGCATCGCAACTCCTTTCACAGGAGTTGGTGCATAAATCAGTCCCTCAAAATTCCATCTCAAAGTTTTTGTTAAGCACAAAGTACAAACACACATATCCGGTGTAGTGCTCCACCCCCCCCCCCCCCCCCCCCCCCCCCCTCTGGCATTATACTGTCTGGCGGAAAGAAGCAAATACAAGTTGTAGGTATTTACCGTTGCATGTGCCAATAGGGAGTGCCCACGAGCCGTTTGGTAAGCAAGTTGTTGTCAGACTACCATTAAGAGTGTACCCGGCCATACATTGAACTGTCGCCACTCCATAGCGAGCAGTGCTAATTGGTGCAGCCACGCCATTTGTTATTGTCGGTAGAGTGGAGCAGACAATATCTGAAATGCGGCAAACAAAAATAACACCAAACACACGCTAGCACCACCGCAACGCCTCCTACGGGCAATCATCGCAGTCATTGAGAGTAGAGAGATCAATGTCTTTGTCATGGACTCACAATAGATTTTTTTATCATGTGCGAAACAACACATTTAACATGGCCAGAAGTTGTCTGTGATCAAATAAGGGGGCATGCATCCTATAACCAGGCTCAAGCTCACAATTCCTATATTACATCAGTAATAAAGAGTCACATGACCCCAATAACCCACCTTCACATGTTGGTAACTGAGTCCAATTTCTCCCAGCCGTGCAGTTAACTGTTTCCAGACCAAGCAACTGATAACCAGAATTACATGACACTGTTACGGTCGTTCCGATTGTTCTTGTTGTTGAACTGTACATTGCTTGTGCGATATTTAGTGCCGGGCATACCTCTGTAGTTGGAGAAGAGAATATCATCATGCAAAATATAGCATATTGACCAAGGAAGCCACGTCTTTTTTTCTATCACAAACCACTGGCTATAATTAGCATGAACGTGTGATTTGTATCAGACAGCTTTCGCACAGGAAACAGTTTACATAACAAACTTCTACAGTTGTATTTGAAAAAGTCCAAAACTAGTCGATAGCTTTAGGTAAATAGTTATGTGCTTAGTTTATTTATTTTATTTATTTATTTCTGCACCTCGTGGCATGTCAAGACAGCCAATTGAATTGAGGAGAGGGTGAGACCAACCACAGAAGAAGAGAAAAAGAGAATGAAGAGCACGTACACATAGTGGGAAGGGAGTAGCAACTTACAAAGCAATGGGATGCTCAGCGAGCTATGCAGCAGAAGTGGTGACTGTGATTGTGTTTACTTGGAGATACTGAAGTGTTGTCTGACTAGGGTACGAAATTTGGGCATATCTGGAGCTTGTCTAACACTGGGAAGCAGTTGGAGCCACGTAGAGTAGGAGGAAAAGAAAGGGGAGTTTACGAATATGGTAGACCTAGCTAGGGGGAGATGAACGCAGCTTCGGGTGGTGCCACCTGCCTTGCACCAAGTGAGGGACTGTAAATGAACAGGGTGCTGGTCAAGAAAAATTGAATGTGCCAGGGTGCACTTGGAAGCATCAAGGTAGTGTTGCAGAGTGGTAGTGGATGCAGCAGCATACAAGTCCAGATTTGAGATTTAACGATCAGTGCGAAATATGATGCGCAGTATACGGCGATTGAACACTTCTAATTTACCTATGTGGGTTTGTTAAAGGTGGACGAGGCAGGGAAGCCGTACGTGAAGAGGGGAAGAATTTATGATTTACAAAAATTAATCCGGCAATTTTGGGGCAAATGGGACAAGTGACTTGACATTATGCCGGCAGATCGGCATACTTTGAACGACACATGATCAGCATGGTGAGACCAGGAGAGGGCGGAATCTATGACAATGCCAAGGTGTTTATGGCTTAGTTTCTGTGGCTTGGTGGATAACCCTAGAGATTTGTCCAAGTTACTAGGGTTTTGGTATATCTCTTACCTTGACATGAAGGAATTGCTGACCACATTCGACCAGTCATGCATGTAATTGTTTGCATTCCCACAAGCAGAACTCCAGAGTTACATGTCACATCGACTGAAGCACCAAACACACGAGATGTTGTGCTGAGTGTTGCCTGTGAAATATTTAGCACTGGACATGCCTCTGAAGAAGAAGAATAGATGCGTCAAATCAGTCATTTATCTTATCGTACTTCACCGTTGATGACTAAATTTAAACGTCTTTCAAGCTACAGATGGCTCACCGGATGTACCATTAATCCACATGCGATAACTTGAAGAATTTAAATAACCGACGAGGAGACAACAGTCGTAAAATAGCTATGAAAAATATCAATTGTGCACTCAAAACCATGTATAAACAATTAAAATGAAACAGTTCCAGAACGTTTTCGTGTGACCATCATCAGTGGAACATCGTCACATAGTAAGAATCACTTAAACAACCAGTTATATAGCTAGAGTAATATCAAAAGAAGCGTGAGAATGCAGCACAGCTAGCGGTTATGCATAACGCCTGTAATGTGAACCTTTGCAGTGTATCTGAGAATGGTAGCAGTAGATGAATGTGGCAGTTGTGAGTGCGTGTGGACAAAAAACCATGGCGCAAAAAAACCTGTCAGGGGTGGATGCAAATTTGCGAGCTCCTGAACTTTACTCCTTTTTTCGGTTTCCCGGGGCACTAGGCCCTTGGAACACCAGTAAAATTAGTGATATAATGGCCGGGAAACTCGACCCCAATACGGACATCGCCGTGCTTACTGACGACGAGCTCAAGGAGCTCATCCAGCGACTGGGACTGGAGTTCCCCAGAAAGGCGAACAGGCCAATGCTGATTGCCCTACTGAGAGGATCCAAGGACTCGGCTCCCGTAAGTCATGCTAACCCTGATGTAGCTAGCCTTTGCGCCGCACTCTCCGAACTTACTGGGGTAGTAAGGGAACTGAAATCAGAGCTAAAGACGATGAAAGACGTGAATGTACAGCTGAGAGATTCCGAGAGGGAAATTCAGGCGTTGAAGGACGACGTGCAAAAGCTCCGCCGTGAACTGCATGCTGAACAAGATCACCAATTCCGTTTGACCCACGTCCACGCTGACCCTGGGGCCGGGGATACAACTCATCTCAGAACTAGTACTAGTAGTACCCTCCCCATGCACTTTAGTACGAGTACCGACGCTACCCCAGACCTGTCACTCACATCACCACGTGCACCTGTACAAACACGAGGCCCAGCTGCACAGCACATTGCAGAAAAATCGTACGCAGACTCCGCAAGGCAGCCACCAAGGCCGCATGCACCTGGCCACGACAAACGTACGCAAAAGCCAAATCACCGTAGAGAGGAGACATCGCGGTACACAGCACCGAAAACACCCAAGAGTGCACCTGGACTCGTAGGACGACCCCGCGTGACGGTGTACTACATTGGAAATGTTGACCCGGACTGCGATGCGGATTCAATAGCTGAACACTGCAAGGCACAAGGCGTATCTGTAGTACAAAGCGTCGTGTACACCTCCGTCCACTTTAGAACAGCCTCTGCTCGTATTACAGTCTTGGTCACGGACGCCAAGAAGGTCGCGGAAGAATCGTTCTGGCCTGATGAAGTTGGCCGTACTGTAAGAGAGTGGCGATTTGGTACAGAGGCCTGGGCTCTCAAACCCGTTAAAGCATAATGGCTCAAACCACTGACCCACTCCCCTTGAACCCGCATGCTCCAGCCTTTACACCATCGTCTCCTCTTCAACCGTCGGCCCCCGTAAGCTGTTCATATACCCACATAAAGGTTGGCCACATAAATATTTGCAGCCTTAGACACAAAACACACATTATTGCTAAGTTAATAGACCAACATGCCCTGGATCTTCTGGCAGTTACTGAAACGTGGCTTGACTCTAGCATCTCGGACAACGAGGTCTCGGTGCCGGGAGCAATTCTTTTCCGTCGTGATCGGCCGTGTGCTGAGGGCTGCTCGTGCTTGTCCTCCTGCAGCCCCTGCAGGAAAGGAGGGGGAATTTGCATGTACGTGAACGACCAAGTTAATGTGACTCCTGTCTTGACCCACTCGCATGCCAGTCTAGAATTGATGTGGCTCAGAACCGGCACAGTCAATGATGGTGCTTTGTTCGGTTGCATATATCGGCCCCCATCCGAGTCAGTGGAGTACTGGACTCGGCTTGCCACAGCCACAGAACAACTGGACAGCGAAAATGTTGTATTATTAGGCGACGTCAATGTAGACTTCCTGCATCAGGCATCCAGCGTTTTCCAACACCTTAAGAACACACTTTTACTCCCGTGCGGGATGGCCAATAAAGTCCAGGACGCAACCAGAATCACTGCCTCGACACGCACGTCGATTGACTGCATACTGACGAACATAGACCTCGTCACGTCAGCATCCGTTATAGACTGTGAGTTCTCAGACCATCGCCTGGTCCTCAGTACTGTCCCATTACCCACAGCGGGCACACGGAACTCCGACACCGATGGTCAGCAACCAAGCAGACAACGAAGAGACTACCGAGGCTTCGACGCAGACCGCTTCTGCGGTATGTTGTTGTCTTCCAATCTTCATCACTTTGCAACCACTGACACTGACCTGATGTTAGACGAATGGGCCGAGAAATTTAATGCTGCACTTGATATTGCAGCGCCTTATGTGCCCAGGAAGCGACCGAAGCGGAATCGGAAGACTTGCCCTTTCATGACCAAGGCTCTCCTTGACTTGATCAGGGAACGCAAATCAGCCTTCAAGAAGTTAAAAGCAGCCAACTTTCGTGACATGGTCATAATGGCGCAGTTCAAGAGATTACGTAGTCAGTCCAACAACTTTACCGTCATCTTCAGAATCGTTACTTCGCGGATCGGTGCAGGACGTATGAACGGGAACCTCGACAGTTCTGGAAAATATTGAACACGATCACCAAGCGTACGCCACAGAGGCAAACAGTTATTATCCCAGCTGAGAGACTAAACGATTACTTCCACGCTATTGTCACCGATAATCATGCCACCTATGATCTGCCAATGGGTCCGGCTAACTCTACGGACCTCAGGACGTTCGAGGCGGTAACTGTCTCAGAAGTGAAAAGGCTAATCAGTGCCCTCCAGAGCCGCAAAGCTCCTGGCCCGGACGGAATTATGCCTTTTTTGCTAAAGGTATCGAAAGACGTAGTCGCCCTTTCACTTACCATTTTGTACAACACTTCCCTCTCTTCTGGACACTTTCCATCCCGGTTCAAAATTGCCCACATCACCCCGATATTGAAGTCAAAACAAGGCCCCCGTAATTGCCCTTCCAATCACCGCCCGGTGTCTCTAACATCTATTCTCGCCAAACTCCTTGAGCAGCTCGTGTTCTCTCGTCTCCAGGTGTTTTTCCAAGAACGTTGCCCGTTCCATGAAGATCAATTTGGTTTCCGGAAGCACCGGTCGACCGAGCAACTCCTCACGAAGGTAACGAATGATTGGCTGCTAGCCCGCGAAGCGGGTCTGCATACAGCTGTTGTTTGCGTTGACCTGAAGAAGGCGTTTGATACCGTGCAACACCAGCAACTTCTCATCGCAATCGCGGCCGTGGGTATTTCTGGCATAGCCCTGGCTTGGTTGCAGTCATACCTCCGTGGACGGCAGCAGCGCGTGGTTACCTACATCGGAACGTCTCCTCTGGTACCAGTTACTAGTGGCGTACCTCAAGGCACCATTCTGGGCCCTGTGCTCTTCAATTTATATGTGCGGAAGCTGCCGCTCACAGCTGATGCTCTTTCCTGCAAGCTGCCGATGTTCGCGGATGACATGACGCTGTATGCCAGTAGAAGGTCGCCAAATGAAGCTGTCGGTGCCGTCAACAAGGTACTTTCAGTGCTTGCTCTAGATCTTGCGGACCTAGGGTTGTCAGTCAACTCTGCCAAAACTGTCGCCATGTTCATTTCCAAACTCCCCCTGCACCTGTCTGTTCCTGTGATACTCAACGATCAGGTATTGACCCGCGTTACCAGCACCCGAATCCTGGGGGTCATCATTGATGACCGCCTAACGTGGTCGCCTCACATTGACTTTGTAATTCGCAAGACATGTGCTAAGGTTGGCGCTCTTCGTCGGTCCTTTCAAAAAATGGCGGCAATTGAGCAGGAAGGCCAGGAGGCAATTTATTGTATCAGTCATTCTACCTGATCTTTTGTACTGTTGTTCGTGTTTTGTAACGAAGCTGTCCGCTAAGGACCGCCAAAGGCTCTCTACTGTGTTCCGCCGTGCTGTGCGAGCTGCCTGTGGTGCTAAGTCACAGGACGACATCACGCCATTATTGACCACATTGGCGATTTATCCATTTGAACACTATATGATTCTCAACTTTGCCCAGTTTATTCATAGAAATCATGTCATCATCTCACTGCCTACCCTTACGGAATTATTTCCACCGATCACAACAAGCCTTAGAACTAGAAGCCACTCTAATGCTTCCATTGCCATATCTAAGCACCGGACAACTGATGGAGTAAATTCTTTTTCTAATCATGCCGCAATTTTCTTTAATACACTACCTGCCGAGTGGCACAGACACCACCGTACCTCTACATTTGCAAACCAACTCAGGGATCTTTTTAAAGACCCAGTGACATTTAAGAAGTATTTTGACCTTCTTTTTGGAATCTGTTGAGTTTCTCGATGATCTTGATAGTTCTTGTACTAAGATTGAAGTTGACTTGGTGTTTGATTACTGTACTGCTTGATGTCTGAATTCCAATTTTTTTCTATTTTTTCTTTTCTTTTCCTTTCCTTTCCACTTATCCCGTTATCGGCCCTCTTAAGAGTTGTGTGTATCACTGTTGAGGCATCCGATGGTAAATAAAATAAATACTACTACTACTACTACTACTGCTGAGTGCGTATTATTTAAAAAGTGTGAGTACAACAACATTTTCTTTTCGCTTGCATAGAACAGGGTCACGTGTGCGAAAATATACAGCTTCCAACACCTGCAACTGCTTAAAAAAACGTGCGCAACAAATAACACTAAACCAGGAATCGTCAAACAACTTACGACAATCCGGATTGGACACCAAATGCTTGTAGATGGCAGACTTGCTCTTGTCGATGTCGAACTCCTCCTCGTCAGTATCACTCTCATCCTCCCCTTACTGTTCCTGCTCACCCTTGCTTTCCTCATGACCATCCTGTTCATCCCTATCAGCATCCTCCATCTCCATCTCCTCATGCCATCGCTTCTTTCTCCTTGATGTGTTCACTGCTGCACCCGTACTTTCACCTGCCACTACTGGTTCTGCCTTCTCGATTTTTCTCCGCTAGTCTCTGGCTTCTGCTCAGATTCGTTTTTCCTCCATTTTCGTTTCGTTCTCCTGGTGATCTTTCCGTTACCGCCGTCGGGTTTGTTAACGAACGATCGTCCGTTGGTCTCCCATGCCACTTGAAATTTTAGAACAGTGAGGCACCACTGCAGCCCATTCATATTATTATGATCAGTCCCTTGAAATTGATAGATTTTCCTTATCCCATTCTCGTTGGAAAGATCAGGTCCAGGTGAATCCATCATGATAGCTCGCAGCTCAGCTTCTATGTACTTCCCGAACATCCAAGCAACTCGATCTATCTTTTGTATTCAGTTTCTTGTTGAAACTCAACAGATTTTCACGATTCAAACTGTACTGCAATATATGAGGTACAAGCGCTCCTATTGATTCTCATAGCACATGCCTTAGGCGAAAAGTGATTACGATGCCGAATATTTACGTCATCTGCGGTGAAATTCAGTAGTGCTCACTGTGGAGTCGTTTAGGTTCCATTTCTCCACACCCACCAACAGGCACGGCCAAGGGAAAGGAATTTACTGGGGGAATTATATGAGGGAGAGAGATCCCTGGTAGCTAGGGAGCACATGTATCCATGCAGACCAACGGAGAAATGTGTCATACGGGAACGAGGGAAGCTATGTGGAAGGGATAAGGGAAGAAGGGAATATAATGTTCAGGACACAAATGTGGAGCTAACAGCGCACACTCACCTGAGCATACCGGTTGAGCTGACCAAATGCTACTTGCTGAACAGATTATTTGTTGTGACCCAACCAATTGGAATCCAGTGCTGCACATTACATCCACGACTGCACCTACCAACCTGGAACTGGTGCTGTATGTGGCTTGAGAAATTGTGGGTGTTGGACACATTGCTGTTAAAAAACAATTGCAAAGTCACAGCAGTCCATTTCTAGACAGGTTTTAGCCAAAGACAGAATAAAAATGGTTCTGTGGGAACGATCGTTAAAGTCCCTATAGAGTACGACATTGGGCCTTATTTTCGGCCTTTCCCATGGTTTAATCCATTCCATGACAGCATGTTTTCCTGTATTGACCGCATTTGCTAACGCATTCTCCCGTTCAAAGCTGCAAACACAGCTGGGAACAAAAATTATTCCTATTTCACTGTACCTTGATGGATTTTCAGCGCAGGCAGGTTCATTGGGTTGGTCTAAGACCATGATTGAGGAACGAGAGGTACCAGGTTCAAGTGCTGCTTGGAAGCGGAAGGATTTTCCAACCGTGCTGCGATCCACATTTAATTGGGAACTTGTGGCCTGGCATGAGTAAATCATGGATGTGGCAAATGGGATTCAGGCATTTGGCCTATGGTTGGTGGATCTGATCTATCCTCCCCTACCGCTAAGGAGCCGCATCTGACGCCTGATCATGGGGTGGTGGCGTCCCACGGAAGTGGAAAGGTGGTTCTTGACCAGGGAGTTGTACGACTCTTTGTTCTTGACCTGCCCGGTACGCGAACCCGTCGAATTTATTTATTTATTTGATGGATTTTCACGATGCATGGCTTGTTGGAAAGGTCTGGACAACGGGACGCTATGCCAGGGACTCCCAGCTTGACCGGCATACCAGGGCCACTTCCATCTCCTCTCCAAGACCTCCTACCCATAAGATAACAAAATGACTTCCTCGCATATTTTCTTTTGTCCTCTTGCTCATAGGAAACGAATTTCCACGATTAAAACTGCGTTTGAAAGCTGTGATTCAAACGCGTTTGTCGATGTTCATTGTGAGCTGGTTGCCTCTAAAGGAAATCCCAACGCCGACACGGAGTCGTGAGCAATAAAATTGGATCGATCACCAAAAAGTGAAATTTGCGAATTGGGGTCGTTCATTTTGTCGCCGCCCGGTCATACAATGTTGTAATGCAAAGAACTATAATTATATAAAGAGTGTCTCTACGACTATTGTACACTCGTCTATAGCCCGTGATACACATGTACTGTACTGTGTACACTGTACAGTTTAGGCAGAACGTGAAAGGGTTAATATGCACTGTGAGGTCCCAACAGGATTCGGACAAAAACATCGAGGTATACATGTGTGGCAGCAGCGTATAGTAGCACTACTGCTGGCAGTACAACTCTGCAGAGGTGAGTCTTGAATACATTGTGTGGGTGCCATACCTTTGGATTCCACACAAAGAAACTTGTTAGTAAGAGGTACACATCGACAGTCTGTAAAATAACTTGCAACCGTCTGATGTCTGAAATTCTGAAAAGGTGCGAGTGAAGACATGGTAGAAGTCAGCTATCTGGAGCCCATATGCTAGACACACACATCGATCGAACGTCTTCTTTTCGGGAGGATTTCAGAATTTGACATTGGCGATTTGTTGGGACTTCGAGTCCTATCAGCTTTCACTGCGGTCTGCTTTTCTCAAAAGATCCTCAAAGTAGGACGCCGATGAAGGCTTTGCCAGGTGATGGCCTTGGAAACCAGTCCGTTGTCATGGCGTTTTTGTTGTATTTTAACCCTTTGCATGCTGAGCCCCTTTTCTCCAATCCACTGGCTTTCCAGCGCACTGACTCTCTTGGTGGAGTATGCACTCACAGCTCTGAACGAAATTTATTCTCATTTCACTCCACCTTGATGGATTTTCATCGTCCTGGGCTCTTTGGAAAGGTCAGGACCAAGCGAATCCATCCTGGCAGCTTTCAGCTCCATAGATACATCAGGGCCACTTCCACGTCCTCTCCAAACTACTTCATCGTGCCTCGGAACGGCGCCACAACCGTCAATTTCACATTCTTGTTCGGCTTCTTGCCCAACTTCAACAGGTTTTCACAATTCAAACTGCGCTGCAAAGTTCAGATCCAAGCGCTTCATTTGATGTCCATCACGCATGTGCCGTGCCAAAGGGAAATCCCCTGGCACGCTCCTCAACAAAAAGAATTCATGAACAAAAAATTCGCGTTCACTCTGGGCCGCGATTTCCGTGTTCATCTTGTGAATTTCGGCGAAGCTCAAAAACACTTTTTATAATCAATCTTAGGATGACACGGGATGTATGCTGTGCTTCACGATTGACAAACAATTTCGATATGAAGAGCCCGATAAGCGCCAAATTTGAGAAAACAAATTTCAAGCTCTGTGTACTTCAAAAGTCTTTTTTTCTTCTTTTTTTGCTTTTCTTCTAAGGCCCAGCTCGAAAATAAGAACTCTTCACTCCAGCCGTGTTCACTGACAAGTACTGGAAGCTAGTACTGTAGTACATATCCCTGTTCATAGTAGTCCCTCCCCTCCCAATCTGTACTCTCTTGTACCATCATCGTTCAATGCGACGGACCCCACGATAGGCGGTCAGCCTTTGGATCGTCCTAATAAAGGTATTATTCCCGTAGCTATGCAGAAGACATTACTTCAGCAACGTCTGGCGCTAGCCAGGGTCCACACAGTGTTGTGAAACCACAAGTTCTCGAGAGTGAAAGGCCTTCTCGCTTGTGACATTGTGTTAGTGTCAATGCAGTTGTATCCCGACTCCGCCGTACCGCTGATGATTACGACGTAGTATACGCTACATGCGCTATGTGCGGTTTGCTGTGTGCGCTGTAGTTGTATGTTGTATGTGTATGCTTTTCTCATATACGCTGTCATTTTCACGCTATAACTACCTGGTGGTTTTAGTGTTAGTTATTCAGTTGTTCATTCATTCATTCATTGTTCATTATCATTAGTCGATGGAAGTGAAAGATATTGTTGAGAATAAAATAGTTGTCCTGGTGCCATGTGGGGTCGTTCGTTCCTGATACTTTAGAGAACCGGAGGGTTCACAACATTTGGCGACCACGCCAGGATACGAAGCGAGCATGGCACAGGAGCTATGGATCATTGAAGCCAGCTTTATCGCTAACGGAATTCGGTATGGATTTGAAGGCGATAGGTTGAGAGAATACGTGGAGAAGAAGCTCCGACAGAGCGGGGAGTTTGAAGAGCGCAGTGCTAGACGGCAAGAGGGTGCGCTCCGCACAGAGTTTAACGAAAAGCTCAAGAAGATGGACGAGCGCATCGCCGTCAGTACATATTATGAGGAAGCAAAGCGAGATTTGCTTGCCTCGCCCGGAAGGACGCCGGACAAGGCGTGTAAGACTTTGCTTACAGACAAGCAGCGGTCAGAAGAGTACTTGAAGCCAGTGGGAGGATCAGATCCAAGGCCTACTGCGTCGGTACAGAGCATGGCGACATCGGTCGGAGACGCTCAGAAGCAGCTGGAGTCTCGGCCGAACGACGTAGAGGCGCAAGACGTAGAGGCGCAAGAGTTGGAGGCGCAAGAGTTGGAGGCGCAAGACGTAGAGGCGCAAGAGTTGGAGGCGCAAGAGTTGGAGGCGCAAGAGTTGGAGGCGCAAGAGTTGGAGGCGCAAGAGTTGGAGGCGCAAGAGTTGGAGGCGCAAGAGTTGGTGGCGGAAGAGTTGGAGGCGGAAGAGTTAGAGGAGCAAGAGTTAGAGGCGCAATACTTAGAAACGCAAGGCGTAGAAGCGGAGAAAATGAGAAGAGCGATACTACTGGTTAGCACGGAAGAAGTAAGCGGCGAGACTGTGTGGAACACAGAGATCCGATGTGTCCTCGGATTCCGCGCCCGCCCCGGGTCGAAGCAGTGTACCGGTGACCATGTCGTGTGTGACAGCCCACATCGTCGAGCTTTATGACATTATCGGTTGTGTGTTGTCTGGTCCAGCGTCTGCCCCATGTCGAAGTCGATCGGCGACAGTGTCGTGTGCGACAGTCCACAGCAGCAAGCTTCGCGATGTCGAGTTTTCTGAATTGGTGGGCATTAGTGGTATTCTACCATGGCCACCACCGCAGCAGCAGATGACGCGTAGTAAGCCCCAAATCGTTTGACTTGTGAGTTGTTGTACGGCGGTGAGCAGCCCTTTGGTGGGGAGAATGTTGTGAAACCACAAGTTCTCGAGAGTGAAAGGCCTTCTCGCTTGTGACATTGTGTTCGTGTCAATGCAGTTGTATCCCGACTTCGCCGTACCGCTGATGATTACGACGTAGTATACGCTACATGCGCTATGTGCGGTTTGCTGTGTGCGCTGTAGTTGTATGTTGTATGTGTATGCTTTTCTCATAATATATTATACGCTGTCATTTTCACGCTATAACTACCTGGTAGTTTTAGTGTTAGTTATTCAGTTGTTCATTCATTCATTCATTGTTCATTATCATTAGTCGATGGAAGTGAAAGATATTGTTGAGAATAAAATAGTTGTCCTCGTGCCGTGTGGGGTCGTTCGTTCCTGATACTTTAGAGAACCAGAGGGTTCACAACACACAGCTTTAATTTGGTGTTAGTGGCGGGAGGGCGGACCTCTGTCTCGCGCTATGCCATATTTGTCCCGTACCGTACCGTACCGTACCATCCAAGACAGCTGGCCACAAACAGCTGGTCACCATATTAAAATAGGGCTTTCAAATGCAAGATCATTATGCTGGAGCAACTTGGAAGAATGAGTATGAATGCGAAGTGTATGAGGTAATGTATGTAGGGCAATTGTACGGGTTCGAATCCGAGGTTTTGCGTTGAAAAATTTATAACATCCCTATGCCTAGGTCATCAAGATCCCCTCCCTGTAACGTCTGGAGTGCCCCAAGGTTCCATTCTGGGTCCTTTGTTATTCTTGCTTTACGTTAATGACCTACCTTCAGTTGTCCCCGATGTTAGTTTGTATGCGGATGACACTGGCCTTATCTGTTCTGATTCCTCCCCTGCACAATTACTCCTTACCATGCAGCATCGCATCAACAGCACTGTCATGTGGATGCAAACGTGGAAACTCCAGCCCAATTTAGACAAGACAGAAGCCATGTATATTTCTTCATCCCCTCCTGATCAACCATTATACTTCCCTGA